GCAAAGCCCCAGGCCCCCCAGTAAACCCCAAATCCCCCCAGGCCAGCTCCAAGTTGGGTGTTGGGTTGCCCCCTTGGGCACCCCGCCCCCCCCCCCAAGCCTTCAGCATATTTTCTCTATGACTTCCCTCTTCCATTTGTTCTTCTGGTTATTAAAAAGAAAAAGACTGCAGTGTTTTCCTTCATAGAAGAAGGTAGAACTCTGGAAAAAAAGTGTTGTTGGACCCTCTACTAATGGAAAAATGCACCTTACTGAGAATTTTGCTATTACTGTACCAAACTTCGTGTGTGTGCCTTGGCGACTGCCTGGACAAGTCCTTGAAGCTTTCTTGGCAAGATTTTGGAAGTGGTTTGCCATGGCCTCCTTCCCAGGGCCGAGAAAGAGGGACTGGCCAAAGGTCACCCAGCTGGCTTCATGCCTAAGGTGGGACTGGAACTCATAATCTCCCGGTTTCCTGGTGCCTTCATCACTACAGCAAACTGGCTCTCATTACCAGACTAACCAATCATAGAAGCACAATACTGAACTTGTAAAATGAATAGTGGGGGGAGGGAAGAATGGCCCCTCTCCACTACAGAATGCAGTCTTCGACTCCTGTATTAACCCAATAGTCAGAAGAATCAGCTCAGCACGCTGGTTGGGTTTCCAGACCATGCTGCGTTCAGATATGCTTGTTCAGCTTGCATAGTCTGCGTATGGAACTGAATTCACAGAAGACACTGAATCATCGCTAGCCAAGTGGACTAGCTTAATCACACGTGCAGACACGCAAATCGTTTTCACTAACCAAATTAGGAGGCAAGTGAATGAGGGAACTGGAATTTTAACCCAATTGGTTAAACATGCCAAAGAATGTAGGGGTTGAGGGACTTTAGAAATCACCCTGCCCTGATATTCGTACAAAGATCACTCCTATGTTTAGTATGCATTCATCAAGGTCAACGTGCCCCCAAAATCTGATGCTCTCCAGATATAATAGAGTTCCCAGCCAGCATCTTTCTAGGACAGGGAAGGTTGACCTAACTTCTTATATTTTTCTATTTATTTTGTTTTAAATTAGCTACTCGAATTTTTTTTACAATATTATGATTTAAAGGTTTGTACAACACTTGTGAAAAGTTGTTCATAAACCTAATAAATATCTGGCCTGGCTTTACCTCGTTGGCATCAACATTCATCGGAACAGAAGGAAATCAGGAACTCTGAGTTGTGATTCAGGGCTGTACTAGGTTTGAGTGGATGGAAAACATTTTTTTAAACGTTTTATAAACAATTTTTAATTCATAAATTTATTTGCAAAGCATGCTGATGCTGTGTTCCGTCCAAGGCTGAATGCATGCATTTTGCACACGTTTTGTGGGTTAGTGTGTTGAAGAAAGGCCACGTTTGCGTTACACACGCAGTGAAAACACATGTTCTGGTTTGCACATCACCCTGGTTGTGCACAAGGCCTGGCTAGAAAGCGACTGGGCTGCTTCGGGCGGGAACACAGACTTGCCCAAGGAGTTATCCTGACAACAACCGGGAAGCAGTTTGCCACTGGCACCTTCTGAGATTTTTGGGGAGGGGTTTCAAGGGGCGCAAATAATTCTTCCTTGGAGCCCTGCAGCGTCCAGACCCCTTTCCCAGGGAGGGGCGGGGCCGGAAGAGAGCCTCCTAAGTGGTCTCTCTAGGCATCGAGACTCGCCTTCTTTAACCCTTGGCTGGAAACATCCCTCCAGCCGGCTTTTCTCCCGGAGCGCCTTCCAGCTGTTCTTTCATCTCCTCGGTCCGGCGGGCGCCG